TCAAGATATTTTAGAAAGTCAAGATTAAACTTAGAAAGACTAGAATTTGATCTCATTTCTTTCTAATCCAGAAATAGTATATTGTGCTGAATATAGCCTATGTAAAGCATTGTCTTGGATATCTAATAACTAGAAATGATTAAACTATGCAAGTATGCATGTACCCTGTAGTAGAATCAGTACTGATATGTATTTTCTAATGATCTAACCACACCTAGAGACATGCATGTTATTAGCCAGGGACTTTTTCCAGCCAGGATCTTTATAAGCAGAAGGGCTGCCTATCAGATTGATTTTGTCTCTGTGATGGGCAAAAATCTCTCTGCCAAGCAGCCCTGTTGCTTTCAAAGAAACTAGCTGGAAAAAACCTTCCTACCATTCAGAACAATCATGTTTGCTAGCTTACCAGCCAACAGTCACCTTTAGTGAAATAGGTGGCATACAATTTTGATAAATAAAAAGCCAGCAAACACAAATGTTTCTGAAGGTACAAAGGTTTTTTCCTGCTTGTCTTCTATTAAGAAAGCTTGCATTTGGGCTGGCTATCTGAGCCAAAAGCGAATGAATGCAATGTTTCTTAAAGGCAGAAAGCTTGGGAAAAGTCTTTTCTACCTTTCAGAAACATCGCATTTGCTAGTTTTTGAGCCAGAAAGCTAGCGGAAAAAGTGGTTCTAAAAGTTAAAAATTCTAGTGAAGAGAGGGGATGAAAACTGCTGCACTAGGCCAGAGAAAGGAAGCTAGGAAGCTCAGATCTTCAGAAGTTTTTTTATCTGTTCCACCAGTGCAATTCTCTTCTGTTTACTTAATGGACCACAACCGGCAAACTCAGAAATTGCAGTAAGTCACATGGGCACCTCACTTAATGATTGTAATGACTTATGACAAACACTCCAGGCCTAATTCTGTTCATAAGTTGAGGACTAAGTGTAAATTTTACTGTTAAAATGATTCATGTATATTCCATTGAAGTTGCAATCATATTTATTATTTTTTGTTAATTTTTTTCTATTAATGGCACAACTCTTAATCTTACTTTTTTCAGCCTATGTTTATGCTATAGTAGTCTTATAAATTATGTGTTGAATCACTGAATATTGATTGACTCTAAAGAGTTTGGTAATTCATATGGTAGATCTCTGTATATTTTTTGTATTGTTCGGGCTTTTGTCATAAAGATAGAACAGTGTTTCTCAACACTGGCAACTTTTAAGATATGTAGACTTGAACTCCCAGAATTCCCCAATCAACATCCCTTAATGTTGATATAAATTTCTTAGTGTATGTACAGATGACACAAAGTTATTTTGATTTTGTGCTCATTATTTTAACACAGTATTTTCCTTTTGATTTATAGTATAATTTGGATAAGGAAAAGGATCCTGTGGTTATTGTTACTTCTACTACTGGTACAGGAGAACTTCCAGATACTGCAATCAAATTTATAAAGGAAATTAATGACAAAAGTTTGCCATCTGATCACTTGTCTCATATACGATATGGACTGCTAGGTAAATGACTTATAAATTACTGTTCTCATGAAGAAGGAAAAAAATCTGAGTTAAGTATAAATCTCTCTTGTGGAGTAGATTAAATTCTTTCTCTATTTGCACTTGGTTCTGGAACAGTAGAGCCATTATAGGATTTTTGCAATTTAACTTAAGATCATGAGTAGTCTTCCATTCTTCTTAATCAATTTGGCATTGCTGAAAAGAATGTATATAGAGGAGGTACCCATCCTAGGTCTTTTTGTGTTGAGCCGGAAGTGCATTTTTCTTTGGTCAACCTTTCTTTCAAAGCTCAGCTGCAGATCTGGATGTGGGTCGGATGCTATACTTTTTCCTTCTATTTTTGCCTGAAAAGTAGATTTAAAAATTGTAACTAAAATAGTCATAAAGAAACTAGGTAACATAAAATAAAACTTAGAGATAAAAAAAATCAAATACAATTTTAAAGTCTGTAAATAACAAACCAAATCCAACAAAATTTGAAACAGTGTCATCAGTGTTCTGTTAAAGAATGACAGTAAAATGGCTTTTATAAATAATACTTTAGTGAAAGAACATGATTTTTCCAAAGGACATTTTTCTGTGCAAGTTATAAAACATTTATTTTATTTAAAACATTTATATAGCCACCCATCTTTCAAGCAACTCTGGGCTGCTTCCAAATATATTATCACATATCATGCAAAGTTTATAAATGATATAAAATTTAACTATTAACTTGTGTTTACTGAAGCAACATTATTTATCTCTGGCTAGACACTATTGCTCATCTGAGATTGAAAACTGATTCCTTTGATTCTCTTAATTCCTCTTCTGTTAGGATTAGATTCGCCCCAGATCACTTTATTATTTGGGCAATTTAAATGTTCAATAATTCTTCCATCATTGCCTACCCCCACAGAAATTCCTTGGGTATCAAGTAACTAACAAAGAGCAAAAACAATTCTTCCATAATGCAAAGCCCCATTTCAATTACCAGTCACTCAAGCCAACTCTTTTAATTATTTTCGTTAGGACTAGTTAGCTAACTCAGTATAACTAATCAAATTTATTCATCAAATTTATAAAGCTGTCCAACTCCTTCATGATTCTGGGCAGAGGACAACATTAACAACAGTGGAAAACAATATAATAAAGAAAGGACAATTATGTCTGGATAGAGTGATAAAACTCACAACTGAACATATATATTTCCATAGAATTGCTCCCTCCCCCAATCTGCCCTGTTCCAAGGCCTGCAATTCTTTTTTTAGAAAGAAAATTTTATATTATTTTTAAGGGCCATTTGGGCAAAGACAAGATAGAAAGACAAGATAAATCTTGAGAAGGGAAATACTTTTCCAGAGGGCAGGTGCAACAATAGAGAAACCCTTGTTCCTGGGTTCCATTAGGTCAGGGGTCTGCAACCTTAAACACTTGAGTCATTTGGACCCGTTTCCCACAGAAAACACCAGGAGCCACAAAACATGGCTGGGCATGGCCAACTTTATGTCACTCCCACCCAGTCACATGACACCCCCCTCCCCGCCACACCTACCCAGGTTTTGTGGCTCCTGGTATTTTCTCTGGGAAACGTCTCTTTCCCCCCCATCTCTCTCCCACTCAACTCTTTCTCCCTCTCTCTCTCTCTCATCTCTCTTTCTCTCATCTCTCTTTCTCTCTCTCCTCATCTCTCTCTCTCTCTCTTGTGTTCCCTCTTGAACCATTTCAAAGTCGCGTGTCTCCCCGAGCGATTGAGGTGCATGCAGCACCAACAAGTGCCGGAAGAAGAGGCAAGTACAGGGGCGTACAAAGAGCCGCGGGTTGCCAACATCCTCATTAAATGATAGTGTTTGATCAATGAGACTCAGAGCATGCCAACTCTGTCAAACTGTATAGCACTGGAGACAGTAATCCCTCAATGCCATGAAGGATTTTATAGGTAACCCATACATTGAATTGCACATGGAAACTAAGTAGAAACCAATGCAGGTCATGAAGAAAGGTTTTCCCATTACTACCCATTTGCTGCATCATGTACCATTTGCAGTTTACGTATTGCCTTAAAGGGCAGCCCCAAGTAAAGCGTATGTAGTTCCCTACATGCAAGATGACCAAGGAATAAGTAATTCCACTGCATGTCACCTCCCAGCTGGCCTTCAACCAGGAGGAAATGACGTTCATATTCCATCTTATTCCAAAAAGAACTCACAATTTCTGAAGTTCTTTCTGGTTGGTTGAAGTATGGAGTTCATTTAGTCTTTTGCCTAGACATTGTCTATATGGAATATATACTAATTCGATTTCTATGGAGATCAAAAGAAACTCTTCCATAAGGAGAGGCTGTAGAGAATTCTTTGGTTTATGCTCATAGCTGTTACTCAAATGATTAGACTTCTGTAAACAGATAGCAAAAGATATATTTCAGCCAATCATACATCATAGTGTTGGAGCGGTATTGGCTAGAGATGATGGGTATTGGAATCGAGGTCTAAGCTAGTTGAGGAATGCTGACCTAGAATTCCCCAGTACAATCTTTACAGAGGAGTGTACTAGAATATAGGCATTACGTTGACTCATTCTAGGGTTTTGGGAGGGGGGATGTAGAGATGGCTGGTTTCTTGTTTGTTTTTTATTTTTCAAGTGCTTGAGTATATTTCTAAATTCATTTTGAAATTATTTGTCTATTTGCATGATCTGGGTGTCTGATGTTTAATCCTTTATAACTATCTGGTTTGGTTCTGCAACCCAACAAGACAGACACAGACTTCAGACAGTAATTAGGACCGGAAAAAAAAACAATTACTACCACCCTGCCTTCAACTGAGGACCTGTATATTGCATGAGTCAAAAAGAGGGCTGTGAAAATATTTACAGACCCCTCACATCCCAGACATCAACTGTTTCAACTCCTTCCCTCAAAATGACGCTAATAGAGCATTGCACACCAGAACAACTAGACACAAGAACAGTTGTTTCCTGAAAGCCATCACTCTACTAAAGAAATAATTCCCTCAACCCTGTTCAACTATTACAAAGTCTGCACTACTATTACTGTTAATCTTGTCATCGCTCCTTATCACCCATCCCCTGCCATTTGTGACTGTATGACTGTAACTTTGTCGCTTGTATACTTACAATTTATATTGACTGTTTCCTAATATGATTGATTGCTTATTGTACCCTAGGACTATCAATAAGTGTCGTACCTTATGATTCTCGACTCCTGACGAATGTATCTTTTCCTTTATGTATACTGAGAGTATTTACACCAAGACAAATTCCTTGTGTGTCCAATCACACTTGGCCAATAACGTATTCTATTCTATTTTATTTGATCTTCTCAGGTCTTGGAGACTCTGAATACACATTCTTCTGCAATGGTGGGAAAATAATAGACAAACGATTTCTGGAACTTGGGGCTCAACGGTTTTGTGAAGTGGGATTAGCTGATGACGCTGTAGGGTAAGAACCTAATTTCTTTTGGAAAAGTTTTAATTTCTTCCCAACATGTTTAAATATGAATCTGAAATGTTGCTTTTAATCAATGGAATGATGCTAGTCCCATAACAAGTGGAGGTGGGAGGATTTAAAAGCGGGGGGGGGGGGGGGAATATGTCAGGAAGTTGGCTAGAGTTGACCTGGCTTCATGCTGCCCATGCTAGTCTTGGCTCCTGGGACAACTGTGGTATCACAAGATAAAGCTGCAGAGATTCCCTCATCTCAGTTGAGACAACTTTTGTCCACTGGCAGAACTATTGTCGCAGCTCATGACTCAGATTATAATTCTGAAGAAGTTGCTCCAGCTGAATCAGTGGAATGGCAGCCTGAAGAGACACCAAGCCAGGAATCACCTGAAACTGATTAGATTTAGGCACCATCAGAATAGCTGGAGCAACCATATGATAATGTAAGGTCTCCAAGCCCGAGTATCTGGCAAACAGAGTGGAGAGTAGAACAAAAAAGCTCAGTGAGATTCCTTCCCAAGCAAGGGAGTAACTTCATGATTAAAGACAACTGGCTGCAGGCTGATTTAAGAGGCGGCCATGATGAGCCATGTTTCTCCATTTGATTTCCTGCTATGACATGTCATTCCTATGAACCCTGCTTGTGAAACACTAGCCTTGGACTGGCTGATAAGCCTGACTTGTATCTCTGAACTTTGGACTGGATTTGAACTACTTTTCTGCACAGTTCTATTGAAAATGAAACCACCCAAAATCACCCTGGCTATTTTTTTTCCCATTTCTTTTCTTATAAGCTATTATATGCTGAGTCTTGAGTAAATTGTTTTCCTCACCTAGTAGGTGTGTGAATGTAAAGCCTAAAACAGGACAATTGTTGAACAGAAATAATACCAATAACTCAGGGACAATGGTCATCTTTGTTACCTTACTTCTCTATAAATTCCAGGAAAGATTTGAATCTTTATCTTAAGTTCATAAAGGTGAAGTTTGGGTGAGCTTGTAGAGAAAAAGAGGAAGGTTAACTTTTCTTTGCAACAGTAAGTTCTTATATCTTTTTTTATGAAAATGTTCACATAAGGATTTCCAAAAAATACCGGTATTTTTTTTTAAATACAGTTTTTTATTTTTAAACACAAACATACACATACAAAAACATAAAAACATAAAATCCTCTTCCATTTTATATACATACAGTGTGTCAGTTGGTTACGTATCTTTTGTGCTATACTTTTGTAGTCATTTACTCACAATTTATATCAGTCTTCACATTGTCAAACTAACATATGTTTATATATTTATCAGTTATTAATCATCCATGACTAAACTATTTATTCCATCGTTTTATACGAGATGTTCCAAGTTTTATCTTAAAATTTATGCTATACTTTCAACCAGTGGTTATATATATCTATATTATGTTTTATATCAATCTATTAGATTTCTATCACAAAATTATCTAGTCTATTATATTACCATGCCTTTTTATCCAAATCCCATATCATATAAAATTGCTTATCTTCTTCTCCAATTTCAAATGTCAGTTTACTGACATTTCAGCACAGTCCATAATTTTTTTGATAACTTCATCCTGCATAGGTATTTTGTCGTTTTTCCAGTTCTTCGCAAATACAATTCTAGCCGCTGTTAAAACATTTACAATCAAATATTTCAGTTCTTTATTGTACATGTCCAGTATGACTCCCAATAAAAAGATCTCTGGTTTAAAGTCTATATGTTGTTTTGTCATTTTTTCCAACCAAGTGTGGATTTTGGTCCTATATTTCTTTGCGTCCGAACATGGCCACCACATATGGTAATATGAACCAGGTATCTGATGACATTTCCAGCATTTATCCAATTTATTCTTAAATATTCTCGCAAGTCTCATTGGGGGTAGGTGCCACCTGTAAAACATTTTATACAAATTTTCTTTATATGCAGTTGACATTGTCATTTTATAATTTTGAGACCACAATTTTTGCAATTTTTCCAAATCAATCCCATATCCAAAATTTTCCCCCCAAGCAATCATCGTTTCTTTAACTTGCTCCTCCAATTTAAATTCTAATAGATGTCCATAAAGTTTTTTAATTACCTTTTCATCAGTACCCATCAAAATTTTATCTAAGTCAGTCAACTTATCATAAATACCTTCTGCCTTGGAGTCTTTATCAAACCTAGATTGTATTTGCAAATAAGAAAACTAATTCATTTTTACACCTTGTTCTTCCAGCATTTGCATAGATTTAAGTTCACCCTTTTCATTCAATAACTCCCCATATTTAACTGTTTGTTCCTTTTTATATATTATTGGATAAGAAAAAGCTTCAATAGTTGATATCCATGTTGGAATTTTTAAATAACATTGTCTTTTTTTCTTCTCCCAGCTCAAAAACAATGCCTCACGAATATAATGTCTTCTAAAATAGCCCTGTGTTTTAATTCCCTTACACCAGAGAAAGGCATGCCATCCCAACAGCAAGTCACGGCCTTCTAAAGTCAATAATCTACTGTTCCTTAGTGTTATCCATTCCTTTACCCACATCAAACTTGTCGCCTGGTAATACAGCTCCCAATTGGGCAAGGCAAACCCTCCTCTTATTCTTGCATCTTGTAACAGCTTTAATTTTATTCTTGCTTTTTTACCCTGCCAAATATATTTCAACACAATTCTATTTAAATCTTCAAAAAACTCTTCCCCTAATCGAATAGGAATTGTCTGGAATAAATATATATTCATCTTAATTGTGGCTATTCTCCCAATCAATGATAGTTGCAATTTTTCCCATTTCATCAAGCCTGTTGCAATCTGCTGTTTGAATTTAACATAGTTATCTTCCTTCAAGGTACTGCATCTTGGTGTAATATAAATCCCTAAGTATTTAACCTTGTTTGTGACCTGTATTTTTAAAGTTTCTTCCAACTCTTTCTTTCGTCTTGTTAACATATTCTAAATTTGTTAATATATTTGTTTTGTCTTTATTTATTCTCAAACCTACTTTTCCATATTCTTCTATTTTTTCTAGTAATTTGGGTGCTGTTTCCATTGGGTCTTCTAATATAAATACCAGGTCATCTGCAAAAGCTTGCAATTTATACTCCTCCTTTTAAATTTTCATTCCTTTTATTTCTTTTTCTTCTCTGATATTCCTGTTCAACACTTCCAGTGTTAACACAAACAGCAGACGCGACAACGGACAGCTTTGCCTTGTCCCTTTTCTTATATCTATGGATTCTGTTAATTCTCCACCATCATCTTTGCAGTTTGTTCATGATATATTGTTTCAATGGCTTGGATAAATTTCTTACCAAAGCTCATTTGTATCAGTTGCAGTAAAATAAATCGCCAACTCACATTGTCAAAGACTTTTTGAGCATCTAGAAACATCAAGGCCATAGCAACCATGATCAACTCTGCTTATCTTCTTATCTGCTTATCCTGAGCAGGGACAAATCATTTCCATGTTATTGGCAAGCAAACTACATGACCATGACCATGAAGTCACCCACAAGTCAAGACTAAGTGAAAAATGATGATTTTTACCCTGATCTTTTCATTTATTTACTCTCTTTGTTTCAGGTTGGAGCTGGTGGTTGAACCATGGATTGCTGGACTTTGGGTTGCACTTAATCAGGAGTTTGCATCTAGAAAAGAAGACAAAAATACTTCTTTTTGTGCCAACAAGTTTTCTAATCTCTGTATAGGCCTCCAAGCAGAATGCTTGAAAACTGAAGATTCCGGTGTGAAAAATAATCTTTCATCAAAAGAAAATATAAACTCGGAACTGCCTACCGAAAACTCTCAACCTTCACTTTCTTTCTCAGGGTCTTCCCTGTCAAAAGCAACTCTTAATATTCCTGCTTTGCCACCAGAATACCTAGAAGTGCAGTTTGAAGAAAGCTGTGTTCAGGTAGAGTCTCCCATATTGAAGATGTTTATAACCATAAACTTCAGAATCTGGAATCTTGAATTTTGCTTTAGAATTCATGTTAAACATATAGAAAAGTCTTTAAAATTATTTTAATTGAGTAGCTGATAAAACAAATGAGGAAAACGTAGATGTTAGCATGAATTCTTCAACAGCGCCGTGCCTTGCTCAGACTTAATTAGATCTTTAATAATTAAGGTTTTTTTCTTGCAATCCCTATAAAGTAAGGACTAGAATTCAACAAAATCTAGGTCGGAATGAGAGGTTGTCCTTGGAGTGGGGAAATTGTGCTGAGATCCTTGTTCTACCATCCATTAAAAGCAGTTTTGGTCCTGGCTCCTTTGATTCTAACATAGGAAGAGGCTTTAAAACATGGATGCCATGTAAAAATGAGGGTGATACATGCTCTAGCAGGTGGAAGGTCCTAAAAAGGCTTTATTTGGATGGATTGTTCATTGAATGTAAATATCAAACATCTTGTGCAATTATTTCTTGTACTTAGTCCTTTGAATTAAATTTGTGTCAATCTATTTGCAGAATGCTAGCCTACCTTGTATTTCGGAGAACACCATTTTTCGTGTTCCTATCACGAAGGCCATTCAACTTACCAGGGATGATGCAGTTAAAAAAACATTGCTAATTGAACTGGATATTTCTGTAAGTTGATGAATGTTTTCAATTACTTCAGCTGATATTGATAAAAATAGAACTGCAATACGTATTTCAATGTGATGTATTCCTGATCAAAGCTTCAGCTAGCCAACTGCTTTCCCTGTACTGGCTTACATTAGATAGTTGGCATTCAGTGTTCACTGGGTAACTAAACATTTATTTAACTAATGTAGGGTTTCCTCACGTGTGTATGCATGTAAAAGAAGTATTCTAAAAGCCTTTATGATAGTTCTATAAATTATGGAATTTGATATTGTTTCATATTAGTTGGGTAATAAGTAAAACAAAATCCAGCAAATAGGAGGAGCTGGACCTCAGTATAGAACTTCTCTAAACTAGGTTGATAATTAGAGGATCTAATTAATCTTCTCTTGGAAGTGAGTGTAGGTGGGTAAATGGAGAAGCAAGCTGGAAAATGTAAGGAAAATGGTATAGAGCAGGGGTCGCCAACCTTTTGGACCTCAGGGACCACCAAACTCATAATTTGAAATACCACTAATGTGAATTTTGACTGATGGTGGCTTGCTGACGTTGGGAGAGAGAGGGGGAGAGGGAGAGATCTGATTTAATGTCTCTCTCCTCACACACACACACACAAAAACACACAGAGGCAGGGGTGGGATTCAAATTTCTTAACCAGTTCTGTGGGCGTGACCTAATTTGTAGGTGTGGCTTGGTGGTCATGTGACTGCTTGTATGTAAATATTATAAATATATAAATATTGATTTTTTTTTATAAAAAGCAACTTTTACCCAAAATCAGGCAAAGCAGGCAGGCAGATTGAGTTTCTCACAGAATCACTTAGATATCTGTGTTTCTGCCATCAGCTAGCTGAGTCTGTACTGCTTCAGTCCTAAGGAAGCAGAGCCGAAAATCTGAAGATTAGTTAGAAAGCAAGAAATCCAATGATTTCCTGCTTTCTAGCTATTCTAAATCTCCCAGCAAAGCAGAACAGCTGATGGTCGGAAAAAGGAAAAATAGCAATTTAGCAATTTTCCTGTGCTGCCTGGATTAATTGCTTTGGGGGGTGCTCTGGGGATGACATTTCTCTGTGGACCACCAAAATTTTATCGCGGCCCACCGGTTGGCGACCGCTGGTATAGAGAGTAAAAAAGGGAGAGCTAGTCAGAAAACACTTCTTAATGTTGACATGAATTTAATCACAAATGTATTGGCTAAGGCATCACATTTATTTCATTGGAAAGGGTTACATTTACTTATTTATTATTTATTCATTAAATTTATATAGTCTCCCATCTCACTTTCACACAACTCTAGACAGCTTACAATAAAAAATTTTTAAAGAAAAAACCCGCAATGATTGCAAGATTGGTGTTGATTCTACAGGTTAAACCAGACAAGAAGCATGACCAGATGAGCTAGGTCTATTTTAGGATAAGGTTATAATTAACAGAATCTTTTAAGCCTGAAGGTATTTCTCTTGCTCTGCCCATGCCCAGCCTATTTATTACCTGAAAATAAGGGAGTGTCTCTTGAGCTTTTTGCCCCACCCACATTCCTGCTGTGGGGTAAGTTGCCTTTTATCTAACTGTTCCCTTCGTTGTGTCTTGCTCCCCAAAGTCCGAAGGTCATTCCCATATACAATTGCACAGATCAGACAGGATGGGTAAAAACAGTTGGAGAGAAACAGTCCCATAAGTAACATGTTACATCTTATGATGTTACTTAGATAATTCCTAGATTTGCTGGAACTCAAATTTTCAAAGAACACTGGTTCAGGAAATATGCAGTTGTTGTTGTTTGTATTGTGTTATTCCATTAAAAAATATAACTATCCCAGGTCCCTGGGAAGGACTCAATAAATGAATAAAAATGTCAAATCTAGTCTAAATATCTGACTAACTGTGCAACCAACCATAATAGTAATAATTTGAATACAGGAAACAACATTTAACTACCAGCCTGGAGATGACTTTAATATAATTTGTCCCAATGATGCATTGGAGGTGGATGAACTTCTTGATATTTTGGGACTCTTGGGAAAAAAAGATCATTTTGTTTCCTTAAGAGTTAAGGAAGGCACTAAAAAAAGAGGTAAGTTATATGTCAGTATTATGTGGCATATGATACCTTTTGAGAAGAAATGTGATTTTGTGAGTGATATTCTTATTTTTGTCTGGAGACAATGTCTTAATTTCTATAATTAAAATAAACTCCGCATATCTTTTCATGGTTTTTTTTGTTTACAACAATGCATGCCAGTTCAAACAAGCCATCAGCAGATGACTAGAGGTTATGGTTTGGGGGTCACCCTTCCATTGATTGTGTGAATCATTGCATTATTTTTGCTCTATTAGGTTTATTTATAGCTTCGTCCTATATTCGTATACTCATATGTATACATTGTTATCCAAATTATAAATTTATTCCATATTACATAGACTTGAATTTATAAGCTTAATCTTCTTTTTGTTGAATTTATCTGGATTCTTTAGGAGCTCTTTGTGAAACTCCTTATTCTGAATAAATGTAGCTTCACTGCAAACTTTTATCAAAACATCCTCTCAGAAATCAGATCAATTTACATAAAATTGCCTTGGTCCAGTATAAATGTGGGGGGAACATAGAAACACGCTTGTGATAATGTCAGTTTATCTCTAATTCATAAGAAGTTGTCCCCTTATCCTGCCATTGCTGAATAAAAGAAATATAATTCTTTCATAACTGAAATCTGGGCTCTGTTTTAGGGTATATACTAAATTATTGTTCTGCATCTCAGTATAAATCCGATAGTTAATCCATAAAGAAAATTACCTCAATCTCCTTCCTCAACTTGGTGCCATTTGCAGTTTTGACTTGGAATTCCATGATGGCCTGGAATTTTGGGGGATGCTGTCACAGCAGTGTTCCAATTTGGGGAATATCATTCCAGGAATTTACTGGGGGGGAGGGATTTCTTTCCCTGCAGAACTTTACATTTTAAGATCCCTTCTGAAAAAAAGCATTCTTAGGACATTCTTTTATCCAACTGTAATAGAAAGGGATTTCCACTCAGACATAGATTTTCCCATTGATCTCTTTCTTTGCACACCCATAAAATCTGCTGTAAAAGCTCCTTTCAGTCTAGCATTTGGATACAAATGGACATCATTGGATACAGACTATCTGCAATTGATCTTGTTAGGTTTTAACATTTATGCCAGGAACCCTTCTACATGTGGGACTTGAGGAAGTGTTTCAGGGAGGGTTTTCTGTTTACCCTCCAGGGTTGTCCTCATAAGCATTGGACTTGCCAGTTATGAGCATGCTCAGTGCCGTCCTCAGAATATAAGGGCAAATTATATATCCCAGGGCTTGCTTTATACCATGTTTCCCTGAAGATAAGACACAACTGGAAAATAAGCCGTAGTGTTATTTTTCAGGAAGCTCATAATATAAGCCTTACTCCAAAAATAAGCCTCAGTTAAGATTGTCAGTCAGATGGATGTATTTAGAACCGGATCTGTCCAAAAATGAGAATTACATGGAAAATAAAACCTAATGCGTCTTTTGTAGTAAAAATTAATATAAGACCCGGTCTTATTTTTGGGGAAACATGGGTACTACCTGAACCAAAGGAATTGGGTTGCTTTTTAGATTTCTTTCCAAGTAATTATATAGAAGATGAAGGATTTTCTATATGGTCACTGTTTTAACTTATGTTATTCTTTTAAAATAGGAGCAACAGTGCCACAGTATGTACCAGATAACAGTACTGTTAAATTTATTTTTACATGGTGCCTGGAAATCAGAGCCGTTCCCAAAAAGGTATTTTCCCCATTTCTTTTTTCATATAGTCATTAACTGTAATTCTTGCCACATAGCAAGGTTCACTTTCAATCTAGACCAAATGCCATTTTAGTTTGTCTCCTGTGTTGCAAATGTACTGTCTGCTACTTCAAATTAAATGTCTTTGAAAGCTGATGTGTTGCTTACTTAACCATCTAGCCAAGCTGATTACAGCCTGATGTTGAGAAAAATGCATCATCATTTTTTCTCTTTATCTTATATTTGATGGGCAATACAGTAAATCTATAAACGGTTGCATATACTAAATGAAATGATTTTATACCACTTCAGAATCAGGAAATATTTCTATGAATATTTACTGAAGGCATAAAGATTTGTCTCTTATTTGCAATGAGTAAAATCACTATTGTGGAGCTCATAGTAATAATCAATTAACAATATGTTTGAATAAGGCTGTTCTTGTGTGTGCATATAATATTACTTTTTCAATTAAATACGCTGAGTCTGAATACCTAGTGTTTAAATTGTGTATTTGCAAATGAACATATTGGGATATTTTTTCAATATAATCCACTAGATGTCATCACCTAACAATCTATGGAGACCTCTATTTACTGGCAGTGTTTCTCAACTTGTTTACATGTTATATATTTATAAAGGCAGATTACAAAGCATATTAAATTGTTGTATTTATTTTTATGCAGTTTCTGTAGTTTTAATGTAATTTGTTATTCATATCTGTTTACTTTTGGTTTGGAGATCTGCTCATTATGACTAACTTTATGAAATTTTGTAGGAGGACTATTTTTTTAAACTGTAGGTAAGTTTTGTTAACTCATGGTCAATTTTGAATCATTTCTTTGTTTATTTATTCATTAGGCATTTCTGCGCTCTTTGGTAAACTATACCACTGACATTAGTGAAAAAAGAAGACTTCAAGAACTGTGTAGCAAGCAAGGATCTTCGGATTATAACTCTTTTATAAGGAATCCTACTGTTACTTTATTAGATTTGCTCCGAGTTTTCCCAGCTTGCAAGCCTCCACTTAGTCTTTTGATTGGTAAGTCATTTTATGGAATGCTTCAACTGGAGAAAACAAGATACTAAAGATTTATATATTTAGAAGTTGGTATGTTGCCCGCTTTCGAAAAAAAGCTTAGCTAAATTACCCTAATACATTTTACACTATGACTTGTCTTGCTGTATGAGTTATAAATTCCATATTAAGTTGTATGTGTGGAACAATAGCAATAGCATTTAGAGATATATTCTGCTATACAGTGGTTTACAGAGTCAGCATATTGCCCCAACAATTTGGGTCTTCATTTTACCCACCTCGGAAGGATGGAAGGCTGAGTCAACCTTGAGCCCGGTGAGATTTCAATTGCCAAATTGCAGGCAGCCGGCAGCCAGTAGAAGTAGCCTGCACTACTACTCTCTAACCACTGCACCATTGTGGCTAAGTTATGGACTCTAAATTAGAAAGTACATGTTTCAGTCTTGTTTCTGTCATAAATTCAGTGAGTGAATTAGGCAATTCCTGTCTTAAGCCTCACCCTATGTTCATTTTGTAATGTTTATTTATTTATTGGCAAAAGAATACTTATAGACCACCTGCACTCATAGGGGATTACAATCAAAACAAAAAGAGAGTAACAAAATTAATAAATAGCCCTTCTACTGTAGCGCTCAGAAAAATAAGGTCTTCCCTGCCTTTCGAAAGGCAAGATGTTAAGAAAAGTTCTTATGCTCAGTGTCTTGGTAGTCATAAGAAAGTATATTGATAGGCTCCGCCCAGTTCACACACATGAGAATCTTCAGCATACCCTTCTTGAGGAACTGAATGGAGCAAATGAGTGGTTTTATGTAAATATTAGATAAAATGGAAGGGAGGACCAAGCACCATAATGGAATAATTATAGGCATAACTATTATTTCCTCACACTTATTCTTAGCTGGAATTGCCATTTACTTAGTGTGGAACCACTGAAGAACAGTTCTAACAAATCCCAACATTTTTAGATAGTCCAGAAGTTTGTTGGCAGTATGTAAGATGACAACTCAAGAATACTCTTGAATTGCTTTGTTAATGATATATAGAATGCTGCCAAAAGATCTAAAGCAGGAACGTCAAACTCGTGGTCCATGGGCCGGATGCATCACGTACCCACCTGGTTTAGCGAAGGGGGGGAAATCCCGATACATCACGTGACACCGCCATGAGTTTTACACCCTTGATCGAAAGAGATCAGGAAGGCTGCACTCTCCATACAGGTCTTGAGAAAAATCATCCACTATAACAAAACCATTTCTATGCTGGCTGTAAATGATCCAGATAAATCATTTGCTTTAGAGCCATCCCTCTGTAACCAGCACCTATTGCCAGAGACATCTGCAGGACATTGTATTTTTGCAATACAAATTCTCTCCTTTCATACATATATATTCAGGGTTATGACATATATAGAAAAGAAGCTTACAGCACACTCATTTTCCCCTTGACAACTTATTTCATAGTGTTGACACCACCTCTTTCTTAGACCGAATTAACCATCTCCCCAATCCAGCAACCAAAAGCTTGCCCAACAATCAAGCTTAAAGGTGAAATTAGATGTGGTGGTAGTGTTATTGGACTTCTATATAGGAATGTTTATTAAAAATTGCAATCAAAATACAATATACGGAATACTTCATAATGCTTTAAGTTTTATTTAAATACGTAATTATTAGAAGATTCCATTGTTGTTTTGTTTTTGTAAATAGATGAGAGTGGATTCAAGGCTAAACTTTTATACTCAGGTTTGTTCCTTTTCAGAACATCTTCCAAAGTTGCAAGCCAGACCCTATTCAGTTGCAAGGTAATGTAATTACATTTTAATTGTGAACTAAAAGTGTTTTCCATTTGTTTAAATGGATCCAATCCTTTTATGGTTGGAGATAACTGAGAAGTTAAATTGAAATCTTTGGAGGTGTACCAGCTTAGCAATTGAAGACTGGAGGTCATTCACATATACATCATTAGATTTCTTGTGGTTTGTTTCTCAGCACTAGCAAAATGAATAGGCATCTTTGCTAAGCATTATCTCTGTTATGAAAGTTCCTATTTGGTTGTTGTGGCTCATTTGTCCAGGCAAACTACTGTTTCAAACTGATTCAAGTTGAAGCCAATTCTCAAGCCTTTGAACTACAAAGCTATTTCCTGTAGCAGCACCTTCATGGTGTGTGTTTGTGATTCCTCAGCCATCTTGCTGCAAGGCTAATCATTGGAATTCTGATAAATCATGCTGAGAAACTAAACAGTATAATCAGAGAGCTTTGGGGAATTGTCTTTTATATTAACTGTTATAACTGGCCACATGCTTTCAGTCTCAGATTCCAATCTGGAATATTGGACAATAGTAATATTTTTTTAATCAGAAAATTATTCAATAGAACATTTGGTTTTTCCTTTGACTATTTCATTGCAGTTCGACTTTGTTTCATCCTGGAAAGATGCATTTCATCTTTAATATTCTGGAGTTTCCATCCCACCTAGGTGAGCTGCGAAGAGGGGTCTGTACAGGTTGGCTAGCTGATCTGGTTGCCCCAGTCCTTCAGGTGAATCAGAAGAGCAAAGAATTCTTCTGTCCACAGGTATTAACATTTGATAAACTTACGTTTTGCAAGGCAGAATCTGGGAAAATAATTATTTCCATTCTTACTACAGTGGTTGTGGATTGGTAGTAGCAGCTATAAAATATAATTTAGGATCTTCTGTAAAGATATTATTCTACTAGCAGACGTGGTTCTGAAAATGGAAAACTTGCATTCCTGAGGTCCAGAATGTTGGAATATTCTGGACAAAGTTTGGATTGATTTCTGAGGTGGGAGAATGAGGATGGATGAAAATAGAAGCCAAATCATAAAATATTGACTGTAGCAATTAATTGTAACAACTATCTTTGAGCATCATTTTATGATTAGTGTACACTGCTTTGGGATTGTTGATGAGAAATGTATTATAATTTAAAAATTACAAATGTTTATTATAATTTAAAAGATAATTTGTACACGTAATGATGTACTATTGGTATGTGACACCAAAAAAGTTTTCTAGAATGTTCATACAATTCTATGTTGGAAATGTAGAAAATGTGAAGTGTTGTTTTATCATGGTTCGTAGACTTATAAAAAAAAATCTAGAAAATTTGAGGTTTAAATAAAGAATTGTAAAGTTTTAATATTCAACTGAAACCAGAATCTTTCTTACTGGGTTTAATGAATAGATAAGTAGAAAAGACTTATGGAAGATTGTTTTTGTACATGGCACCATCCATAGTGAGATACTTTTTTGAACAAAGATGAACAGACTCTGAAATACCCTCAATGGAGGAATAGTTAATAAAGATGACAAAATTTCCAGAGATGGCAAAGTTGACTTACTTGATTAGGGAAAAAACAATGTTTATATTTGTCAGTAACTAGAAATCCTTAATGGACGTTTTGCTGAAAATGGGGGAAAATGAAGTTGTGATTCATGGGTTTGATGTCTAGAAAGAACCATGATTAATCTTAGAGAGGATAAAATATAATGTATTTATGACAGCAAACAGAAGATTGATTGCTAATCCTTTATATCAATTTTCTTTTGTCTTTTTTCTTTCATTTCTTTCTTTACTAACCACTTTTTTGGGGGGTGACTTTCTTCTTTAAAATGTAATTGTTTTTATTTTATGAAAATTACTTTAATGAAAATCAAGTAAAAAAAGAAAAAGCATAACAATAAGAATTCTGTTGAAGAGTACATAAATAATCTAACAATTTCATAATTCAGTTGAAGAAAACAAACCACTTCTAGAGACAAGAATCAACTTGCATCCATATGAGATGCTTTATGGCCAAAAGAGAAATTGCAGTCATTTAAAAAATAAATTATTTCATAACATCAAGTATTTGCTAAAGAAACAGCAGGGGTCTTTGCAGCTATATGAAAAATGCTTATAATGACACAAGCCTTTCATTTATTACATTAATAGAAACTATGTTTTAATAGAAGTGAGGCCTGTGACTTACTGTTCTTTTGTCTATGACCTTCTTAACAAGCTATCATGATTGTTCTGTTCAAAATGTAGAAGCAACTGTCACACCATGCTGTGGGAGGAAGTGTCAAAGACAAATGTTGCACTTGGTAAACCAATTTCTGTTATTAGAAATTGAGTTTCTGTCATCTTATTTCACCTCCTTTCAATGGAAATCATTAATTATTTTGTAGTTTAATCATTCCTGTATTTCTTTATTTTTAAAAAAAAAATTAAGTAAGTTAGCAATCATGCCTAATCACTGAGGAGATTGGTTTCTACATTTTCTTCAGTTTCATTTTAATTGCGTTTTAGATCAACATAATGTCTCGCCCATCCAATGTTTTTCACTTACCAGACAACCCATCTGTTCCTTTTATTATGGTTGGTCCAGGAACTGGAATTGCACCGTTTATTGGCTTTCTTCAGCACAGGCAAGTCTTTTAAAGATATCAGTCTGTCACCAACAACCTATTTTCTAGCTGGCAACACTATGAAAACCTTTACCTGATCACGAACAGTCAGATTCTTTTATTTATTTGTTTGTTTGTTTTATTTGTCAATATAATAGAAATAAGAATAAACGTAAGTATAAATACATGAAATAGGTATGAATAATTGGGACAATAGGACAAGGGACGGTAGGCACGATTGTGTGCCATGGAATCCTTTGTCTCACGAGTTATATCTTCTATGAACGAGATCTTCAACCCAATCGGATTGTATTATTACAGAGCATAATGTTACGATATGGGAAATTGCTGGCTTGTTTTTTTTGCTAGATGTCTACACTTGCTTTTTGTTTTATATTTTGTTGGTTTCAAGTGATTTTTTTTGTCTTTTTTTTTCCTTTTTAAAAATAATTCTCTCCCATTCCATTGTTAGTACTTTGGGGGGGGGGTGTTTATTTGTTTTTCTCGCGCGCGCTACAATAGCTGCTTTTATTATAGCAACTTAGCTTCCTTTTTTAACATATATAGTAATATAAATTAATAATGAACATGGCAGTATTTTTAAAGGTTAGTAAAATTATATTTTTTAAAAATGTATAAAAATATATGCAGTCTCATTGCATGCTTCTCATTTGGTAATGAATGGTGAAAAGGAGGCCAACTTGAATTAAATTCTACTATTCCCAGTTAATCCTATCTGTGATAATGTCTGTTTTTCCCCCTTCTTCACTTCCCAGAGGTTGCTTTTCAAATACAAGTTTTGGTCTGACCTTGTTTAACTTTTGAAATAAGCCAAGATGGGCTAGATGCTAATTAAGCAAAATAGAACTCCAGTATCTTATTTCCAGTTCATCTTGGTTTAATAGATTGCAACCATACCAAATGAAATCTTGCATACGTTATTTCAGGAGAAATTTAGGCAAATTAGGGGATAAAATATTAGTTTTGTTCCCTGCGATGGTATGTTATGATCATAGGTACACTGACTAAAATGCTTGGAAAATTGCTTTCGTTGGATTGGTTTCAACTAACTGCATTTCAGTATGTTAAAAGTTCTTTTATTGTTGCGAGCTGCAGCTTTTTAAACATCACATCAGTTGTGCTTGAAAGCGATAACTTTCAAAGCTGAATTGTAGATGTGCAGAACATCTTAAGTTCAATATTTGACCCTTTTTTCATTCCAAAAACATTGCAATTTATTCATTTAATTAATATGAGTTTACCACATCAGACTTAATGCTTTATTTTGTAATATGGGAAAGAGTAATAAGGAGAGTTTTCTAGAAAAGTAACTGTATGTGGAGCATGAAATTGAATAGTTGCCATGCCAAATGACTTCTTTTAAAAACCTGAGTTATAAATTTGTAGAATAACATTAATTGAGATAGCCAGGCTCTGCCCTGGAAAATGGAGAGGCAACAGATTGGCTCTCATTACTGTTTATAATGCAAGTCAGTGTTTAACAAGCTGCTGGGACTAATTTGTTCCATATTATTGAAATAGCCACATTATATGCAGCTATGAAATGAGTAAAATGTTGATTTAATTACAACCAAAAGGATTTCAGGGTTATAAGGCCATTCTGATCTGATAATGGACTGAATGAATATCAAGTAGGAGAACTAGGACCTATATTAATCTACAAGAAATATGTCTAAAAGCCACTCCTATTTACTTGAAACACTACAGCATTGTGTTTAGTTGATTTAATGTATTTCTATTATTGTAAATACACTTAAATGTAGACACTTCAGTGCACCCGCTCTTCAGATTTCAACAATCAACCATAAAATATTGTCTAGATAGATAAAGGTTTGTGAGTGGTATTTGCAATTCCCAGATTTGAATTTTACTGAATATTTGGGGAGGGAAATCTCAGTTATACAGTACATGAGGGAGCCTTAAGAATATTTCTAAGCTAGAAAAGTTCTTAAAGGAAGAATGGTGGGGGGATCCAAAAGAAAAAATAGACACTTAACTATATTTTAAAAGTTGCAAGTTGGTACTTCTGCCAAAGGAAATGCTACGTAGTACTGGCTTGAATGGATGCCCAAACTCCTGAAACTGTCATATTCACTTTTTTAAAAAAATTCTGAATTTGTAAATCATTAAATTGCAGAAAGGTTTTGTTTAATTTTATATTAGGTAGAGCTTGTGAACTGTGGTAGTGCAGTGGTTAGAATGTAGTACTGAAGGCTACTTCTGCTGACTGCTGGCTACCAGCAGTTCAGTAGTTTGATTCTCACCGGCTCAAAGTTGACTCAGCCTTCCATCCTTCTGAGATCGATAAAATGAGGACCCAGATTGTTGGGGGCAATAGGCTGACTCTGTAAACCACTTAGAGAAGGCTGTAAACCACTGTGAAGTGGTATATAAGTCTAAGTGCTATTGCTATTGTGTTAGCTTTTCTTCATTTAGAAATTCATTGAAACATGCAGTTTGATGAGTCCTTAAACTTTTACGCACAATAATTCCCAATTCCAGATTTATTGGTAAATTGATCAAGAATTTCAATTTGTTCTCAGATTCTAGGTTTAACATTTTGCTATAATATGTATATCATAATTGTGTATCATATTGCTCTCATAATTGAGGACCTTGTAAGAATAAAACAGTAATTTCATTGCAACAGGAGTCTCAGCTCCAGAATCCTTCATAAGGCTTTGCACTTATAATTCTCCTGTACAATTTATATTAATGGTGGGGAAAAACTAGATAGGTGTTACTCTTCATATGTAAAATAAATTATTTTGCTACAAATACTGAAATTTTTAGGTTTATAATCTGTTTCTTCTTCAGGAATTAATAACAGTTAAACTTTTCAGATAGAATCTATGCATAATACATTTTACAACTGTATTATTTTTAATTGGATATTTTATTTAGGCAGAAGCTCAGCGAAAAGCATCCAGATTATAAGTTTGGAGAGACGTGGTTGTTTTTTGGCTGCCGCCATAAGGCCAGAGATTACTTGTTCCAGTAAGCTTTCTTCTGCTCCTTGTTAGCATTTTAACATTTAGCAGTTGTCCATTGGAACCGTATTTTCTTCATTCCAGCCTCTTGCTTTGATTTCTCTTGCAGAGATGAGCTCAGGTTCTTTCTTGAAAACGGCGTGTTAACTTACCTCATAGTTTGCTTTTCAAGAGATGTTCCAGCTGTGGCAGAAACTGCCCCTCCTAAATACGTTCAAGATAACCTCCGGCTTTATTGTAAAGAGATTAGTAGGATTTTGCTGCAGGAGAAAGGATATTTTTATGTGTGTGGGTGAGTAATACTGAATTTTTTTAAGCGTTGGATATGCAAGAATGTGTTAAAACAGTTTGCTGCTGTAAGCTTAGCATGTACAAACCCAGACCTTCAGGCTTTCATCACTGGCAATACAAAAACTGAGAGCAAAATAATAAAAAACCCAAATCAATGAGAAATCCAGGTGTTTTTGAGGTTATGACTTTTTTTAAAAAGACAAGGAAATCCTGGAGGCAGTTTTCATTACGGCTGTCAGTGGGAAGATGACAGGATAACAATAAAAGTTGCTTGAAAGATTGAACAAAAATGAACTAGAAAGAAGGGCAAGTATTTCTAGGTTAATCTTGTGGAGTCAAAATAATAGAAAAATCAGGTTACAAGTTAAGGCAAGTAAGGGGGCTAGGATGCAAACAAAAAGGCAAGATTAAAAGGGCCCTAAATAGGCTAAAAACACCAGTTACAGAAATCTGTCTCTCGATTCATACTGATATATAACATGCTGAGTAAGCAGCATTATACTTGTTCATTTATTTATTGAAGAAAACGAACCAAAGTTATATATTTGTGTATGGTAAAAGTATGTGAACTTTTAGTAACTGCAGTACCTGCCTTAGAGCAGCCATAACTGCAATTAAATGTTTCTAAGAACTTTTGATTAGTCCTGCATATCAGCTTGCACAGAATTTAGCCCATTTCTCCTTATAAAACACTTCCAACTCAGGAGTGTTAGATTGAGATCAAGACTTGGACTTGACCATTCAAAATGTTAACTTTCTTCTGCTTTAAATATTTACTTATTTATTTAATTTGCAGTCCATCTCACCATGAAGTTGTACAGCTTTTTGGGTTGTAGAGTTTTAATATTTTGAATCATTGTGTTGCTTAAATGACTCACTTTCTCTTGAGTTTCAATTCAGAAACACACAGATACGACTCTGACATGTTCTTGTAGAATTTTCTGGTACAATTCAGAATCCATCAATGATGGCAACTTCTCTTGGTCCAAAGACAGCAAAATGGGCTCAAACTATGACCCTGCCATCGCCATGGGATGGAATCAGGTTCTTCTGCTTGATTGTAGTCTTTGTCAAAGATTACAATCGTAAATTCATCGTCAAAGATTGTAGTCTTTGTCACTCACCAAATGTAATGTTTTTCAATGAGCCAAAAAGTTTTCTTTCATCCATCCACAGAAGATTCTTCCATTAGTCTTCTGGTTTATCCACTTGATCTTTCACAAACTGTAGACAGACAGCAATATTCTTTTTAGAGAGGCTTTCTCCTTGCAGCCTGGCCACACATAGCATTGTTGTTCAGTGTTTTCTTGATGGAAGCCTCAAGAATACTGGCATTTGCTAATGCAAAATAGGCCTTCAGTTCTTTACATATTTGAGACCTCAGTATTTCATACCTTGCACTTAATGTGATCTTGGCTGGTTGACCACTCCTGGGGAAGGTACCAGTGTGTTGAGTTACCTCCATTTGTACCTGATCTGCCTGACAATGGATTGGAAGATTCCAAATTTTGGAAAATAATTTTGTAATGTTTCTAGCCTGATAAGCATCAACAACTGTTTTTCAAGAATCCACAAAAATCTTGTTTGTTCAAGCTATGGCACACTACCAGACACCTGTGATGTAAAGATTAGACTTTAATGATGAAACCCAGAATGTTGTTTAAATAAGGCAGGACCTACCGCTCACACTTGATTATCATCTCATTGATTGAAACACCTGGCTCTAATGTCCCCTTTAAATGAACCGATAATCCTAGCAGTTCATATACAAAATATGTAGCTTTGTATCATTTTCTTAAATCAATAAGTGAAGAAAGTATAATGGTTTTGAATCATTTAAATGTCTTTTCTTTATCTAGTTGCAAGACTTGTATGGAAAACAGATCACAGTTTCATTCATGTTTTATTCAGAAATATTGAAAATTCAAAATAACTCATTTTAAAATTTTCAGCAACTGTTTCTGGCCCCCATGCTAAAATAAAAAGAAATATCAATTACATATTTAAATTTGAAATTAGTATTTTTTAAATTTATGCTAAGTGTATAACCTCTAGTCCCAATTTTGGGGGAGCTAAATGGCATTAAATTTAACAGCACCAAAATTAGTAGTTTGTGTAGGAATATGAAAAACGCCTTTGGATTTTGGAAGTCTGAAAGCCTCCAATTTTGTGGAAATTCTGTCGGGCAACATTTGAAAGATTTCAGGGGAACTATTTCTACTTAAGGGGATTGTTTCTGCTCTGGTTTGGGTGCTTTGTTTTTAAAATACACAGATGAGAGACTTTGCAGACTACACAATTGAGCCTAAAATTTCTGTGCCAAATGAGACATTAGTTCAGTGAATTTTGCCCCATTTATGACCTTTTTTACACCAGTTATGAATCACTTCAGTTGTTAAGTTAGTAACATGGTTGTTAAATGAACCTGGCTTCCCCGTTGACTTTGCTTTTTAGAAGATTGCAAAAGGGGATCACATGACCCCAGGACATCAGTCATAAATATGAGCCAGTTGTCAAGCATTTGAATTTTGATCATGTGACCATGGAGATGCTGCAGTGGTCATAAGTATGAAAACAATCATAAATCACTTTTTTCAGTGCCGTTGTAACTTTGAGCGGTCACTAAATGAACTGTTGTAAGTCGAGGACTACCTGTAGAAAGCTTTCTAGCCAGAAGCCACTGGGAGCCTTGCTCTGCCTGCACACCAGAAGGAAAAGAACCTATGGAATAGTGTAGCACTTTTGATCGCATCCCAATTCGTACCATATGAGTTTGTCCAAGAAAATTTCCCAATCAAAAGTGCCTCAGTGTAAATTGTTATAACATGCTATTGATAAATTATATATTTATCATTAGTTAAATGTTCAACATATATGAATATATGGAGACATTTTCATAAATAGCATTTTTTCCTGAGCATTTTAAAACCCTAGAAGTAAGGCAGGACAGGTTATAGCTCTGAAATGAAACTCCAAAATTAAACAAACATGCAAAGTGGTTAATTTTACTTCTTAAAGTCTGATTATTAAAAGAGGTATATTGATACCTATATTAAGAATTTTGCAAGGTGAGAACTACCAGAGAATTATATCTTGCCATTTAGTGCCACCATTGGCCATTTTCAAAGGGGCTGTGGTGTGCTTGACTTAATATAATATTTAACAGAATATTTGATTTTTTTAAAACTTCACAACCTGTGGTCTTTGCTATTTGATAGCAATACTATATGGACTGGTGTCTGTGTTAATATCTACTCCCCCCCCCCTTTTTAACAACCCTATAATCCTTTGCATTGGGGTGGAATAGGGGTGACTGAATAGAGCTGAGCATTTACTGGCCAGATGCCCTTCCTGACATCTACGTGGAGTTCGCAGCAGATATTTTCTCTTTATGCCCAGAGAGAGAAATATCGGCCACTACCTACTCACAGCCTTCTGATTAAGAGGCAAGAGCTCCACCTTTGTTAAAATCCATTTATTTAAGTCAATTATAATTGTTTTCTCTCTTTGTTGTTTATTTTAAGAGATGCAAAAAATATGGCTAAAGATGTGAATGAGACTCTGATGGAAGTCTTCACCACCGACAAAGGAGTTGATAAACTGGACGCATTGAAAATATTGGCTACATTAAGAGAAGAAAGAAGATACCTGCAGGATATATGGGCCTGAATACTAGTTTTTGGAATTCACTTGACCAATGAAAACAGCAATCTTTTAAACGCCTATACGTCTGTAATTTTCTCTCAATTATTATTTGAACTATTTTTCTAGGGAAATAACAAAGAGAAATACATCATTTCCAAGAGATTTGTCACAGTACAAGTGGTTTTAAATAAATGATGCCACTTATTTCCATCAAGATGGCGTTTCATTTTTCTCTGAAGTTGATCGATATAACTTTGCCTTGGGTTTGAAAATATGGCATAGAATGGTATTACCTGTTTTCTTCAGCTATTAACAAATTGAGGTTTTTTTTAAAAAACAAACAAGAACTATTGTATGCTAGGTACAATATATAGAGTATCAGAGATGTTATTCATTCTTCAAGTCTAGTCTTTCTGCTTTTGAAGAAAAAAAACAGTGGAAAATTACAGAAAAAAGTACTTATTTTTTTGTAAGTACTTATTTATAACTTAGTTATAAATACAGCTGGAGCACTTATATTAATGATTTTTACTAAATGTACATCTAAACCAGAGGTTGGCTCCATCCTTTTATTTTGGCAGTGTCCCCTCTTTTGGGAACAGAGGAAATTATGAAAATAAATTTTGGGTTGACATGGTATAAAGCAAATAATTTTCACGAAAATGAGCCCCAATCCTGAAAAGAATCCGCTACCATTTGATGATGGGCCTAATGCCCAGTTCTTGCCCAAATAATGTTCTATGAAGTGTTTTGTTATGATGGAAGAAAACCTGTACATTAAATTTCCTTCTTATCTAAACATGATCAATGAAATAGGCATGGACTTAGTGTTGAAAAAAATATGAATATTTGAAGCATTTTTCTTAATTTCACTTACAAAGCCCAACCTTCTGAATGAGTGGCTGTAGGGGTAATCACTGAGCACATTTTGCACAATACAGTACCTTTGGTTAGAGTCAGGTTTTCACTGCCTTTGTATGTTGCATGAACCTAGCCTGCTTGGCTAGTTGACCATTTGAGGTATTATGGAAACCAGGAAAATGACCCACTTTGGTAATCAGGTAAAGCATATTGTGTGAATAGCTTTCATTGAATTTATCTTTTAAGAGAAATGTCATATCTCATTTTACTGTTTTTAAAAAGATGACTGCTGCTACTTCAAAAGTGATTTAAAAGTCATTCATTTTTCTACTGTAGTTTGGAATGATGGTCCCACAGTGACTTGTCAAAAAACCCTTGGGTTAAGCTGCAAAATGAGAAGCTGGATTGATTTGAATAAATTTAACATTTGCCAGATATTCTAAAGTGTGACTGAATCAAACCTAGCACTACTAGATAGTATGCAAACTTTTACTGTTTTCAGTAAAATAAATTAAACTCTAAGAGTCTTTTAAGGTTTATCATAACTATTTTGGCTCTGTGTTGTCATTTGATGATCATGTGCTTCAATATGTACATCTCAAACAAAGAGATGAGTTTTAATGCCTGTAGAAACAGCTTTTGCTAAAGACGCAAAGCAGTTTTAAAATCTTGCATTCTTTCTTTTCTTTTCTTTTTTTTGCTATTGAGGTTATTTTAAACAGAAGCAAGTTGAGATTGGGTTAAAGGAAGAATTTCTTTGCTGATGCTCGGTTTAGGAGCTTTTAAGGAATGCAAAGATGATGGTTGAGCATTATCCACTGGCCATTAATATGTGTTATGCATGCTGATGGCTGCATCTATTTTCAGAAATGTGTTTTTTTAATGCTGTTGTAGAAAGGCAAGGTTGCTTCCAATTATCTCCCAGTTTTCTATAATATTTCTAATAAACAATCCTAATATGAAGATAAGATACAATGTCTTCCATTTTTCTACTTAAACAATAAACAGGCCAACTGACAGCAAAGAAAATAGCCTCTTAAAATAGAAGCTGCGTGACAAATAGTTGCTAATCCAGTATACTAAGGTTAATTAAAAAAAACTCCAAAAAAATGATCTTTATGTGATAATGAGAGAAAAAAGTAGTAGTTTCAGAATCTTAGGCGTGATACCCTAATGAAAAAGTTAGAAATGACAGCTTTGTTAGCAATCTGTTTATTTACAAATGTACAGGTTGAAAGCAGTAGTCCAAAAAGGTAGCATCACTTGCAAAAATAAGCATTACTGAAATATCCCCCTTTATGCAGTAGGCTGTGAAGAATCAAATCAATTAACCTTCTAACTTCCCAATGGTGTTCTTATCACTATAAATTCCAGGGTGCACAAAACAAAGACAAAGTCATGCAAAATAGCTTTTTAAATAAGTAATCGGCCTTCCTAGAATGCAGTTATCCCATACATTTTATACAACGCTATGCATTCCTACTTAGACGTACTGTAAAACCCACTCAATTTATTAGGACATACTTCCAACTATAGGATTGCAGCTTAGGTTCGGCTTCAGGAATTTTAAGGGATTGCCTTTTCTTAATGTTTTTTTCACTTGGATGGTGAAGTCCTAACAACTCCATGACAAATACAAAGAGCACATCAGGGATCATAACCCAACTGTGTGTTGACAGAATTTCAGTTTGAGGGTCTTTTATTTCATTATTTGCAAGGAAAAGTAATAAAACGTAAATGAGATTGGCTCTCTAAAATATTCTGCTTACAAGCATGGAACAAATTTCTGGCAGCCTAGCAACTCTCATTAATTTCCATGTGATGACAAGGGAAAGAATAAGGTAAGGTTTCTTTCTCTTGCACTGTGAAGAAACCTTAAAACTATGGCTGATCTACAGAAACATAATTATCAACATTTGTGGGTCTTTGTCCTATAGCTGTGACAACACTAGCCAACCAGAGTTCAAGCAGTCCTCACTTTCACACTATAATACTGTTGCTAAGCGATGCAATCAAAATGAAACATAATTTGACTCATTTGCCTCCCATCCTTCTGTAAAATGAGACATCAGGTGATCTCCAATGTATAGTTCAAGCTTTGGTCATGAAGCAAATCCCAGCAGTCGTGTGAGGTGATGTGATTGCAACTTGCAACTTCCTGCCATCAATCCCATTAGCTTTTGTTTGCCCAAAGCCTCTGTAAAGGTCGCCAATGGCAGTCTCAATCATCATAAATGAACACAAATGTCGCACGAATTGCAAGCACCTGACCATGGGGACACTGCAAAAGCTGCAAGTTCAAGGACTGCTTGTAGAGCTTCCGTTTTTCAGAACTGCTGTAACTTTGGACGGTCACTGAACAGGTGATCAGCAGCTACCCGTAAATCAGTTCTTCCTTGTGCAGTTCTATCGTGCTGGACAGAAATCCTTTCTGCAAGTGAGCTTTGCGGAAAGGACCATGCAGGGGTGAAACAGATGGAGAGCTTCGGTATGTGGTGATGGTTTATGACTGCATAAGGGTTCATGCCTGCTCTGAAGCTGCCTCTTGTTTTCAACCAGTGAGCTGAAGGGGAGAGGCTGGATAGATTGTTTTCAGAGGGATGTGTGAGATTAAGTAAGAACCCAAGTTTTTAAGCTTAAATAGTTCTTTCCCATTGGATGAAAAGGGGGAGTAGTAGCTTTGCTGCAAATATAAAATTTATTTTTACTGCATGTTCAATGTTTAATGAAAGTTTTGTAATAAAATTCTGTTTGAGATGCTTGTTTTTCTTTTATGATATTCCTAAATCGCAAATTATTTCTGACAATGTCAGCTGGGTGGGCAAGGGGAAGAGGCTTTGATGGGGGAAATACTCCCTATTAAAATTACCTTGTGAGTTAATTTCCCTTCCTAATTTTCCCTTGCTGTGAGCATAAAGGTGCAAGTTTGCTACCCAATAGAAAATGCAATATTTTCTACAGCTTGGAGATGGAAGATCTGACCTGCCTTTAGGTTTTGAATTTCCAAATCTGAACATCAACATTTCTGCTAGAGCAAGGGTGTCCAAATTTGGCAAATTTAAGACTTGTGGACTTCAACTTTCAGAATTCCCCAGTCAACATGGGTGGCTGGGGAATTCTGGGAGTATAAATTCACAAGTCTTAAAAGTTGCCAAGGTTGGACATCCTTATGCTAGATCGTATATGGCCCTCTACAGCCTCTGATTATGAGTGAAAACTGCCCCCATTTTCCTGACAGAATAGAGGTGGCTGCAAGCAAACATACCATGGGGAAAATTAACTGCTGCTTTTCCACAAGCGTCCTTAAGGAAGGTATCAAATACTTTAATCCTCCATAGTTCTTGACATTACATTAATCCATTGTGTGTTCTAATGTACTCTGCCCTCCATAAAGTCTATTATTTCATGGAAAGGAAGATTCTGCTTCCTGGTTTTGCCCTGATATACAAAGTCTAAGATGTTCATAGGATCAGAAGAGAATTAGGCAACAGAAATAGGCATTAAGACAATCCTTTTCATGGCACTTGTTAAACTGCATGCAATTAGAAGATTTCAAATGCTACACTAGCACCTATGTTTACCATGATACATTAATACACTTTATTTGTAGAGTTGGCTCTCATAAGCTGTTACATAAGCAAAAGTGACAAAAATACCTTGAATGCTAGGAACAGAGGTAGTATTATTAAGAGACTCAGTAAAGCCCTCCCTGACTTGGTGGGATTGAAGGGGGTGTGGGGAGGAAAGCACAAAGCATCTTGCAAGATTCTATTATTGCTGCCTACCAATAACATATAGCATCACTTTTTGTGTCTAGTCCATCAGATAGATCAAAAAAAATTTAGATAAGACAAAATTTCTGATTGATTAAAAAAAAAAAACTGACAAGATTTCATGCTCATTTGTTCCCTTTCCAAAAACTGGCGCTCTCCACATCTAAACACAATTTGGCAACTGTATGCCCACTATTGATGAGTAATAATTATTCCCATCTCCCTTTTTCATTGAGGTAAAACTGCCACCCACAGTTGAATTCAAGCTGGTTGGATGGTAGGAAAAGATGACCTGAGACCCTCATCTTCAAATGCAAAGCATGTAGCCAAGAGAATATAAATGTGAAAGTTGCAGCCTCTCATTTGATGCATCCTTAAGGAAGTGAAAATTATTTTATGGTTTGTGGGCCAACATATTTGATACAAACCCTGCAGTATGTTCTAGGAACAGAATAGTTGAATTATTTGTTAAAGACTGTGATATCACTGTGGATAATGTTGCCTTGTGACAAACAGAGCTTGCCGTCCCCCCGGCTGATACAAAATGCACCAGGAGAAAAATACATTTTATATACAAGTAAGCACTTCCTCTATTTACATGCTGATGACGAAGTTCACTTACTGTATAGCACAATGTTTATGTCTCCTCAAAAACCACTCTCACAATGCACTGGACTTATTCCCTGATGAAAGTAAGGAGAGGGTTACAATCTTGATGCATCGAATTATAATAATGGTTTGCTTAATACACATCACCATTTTACATTTTATCTTGATTTTTAAAACAGTATTAAAAATAGAAGCACTTGTGCTTCCCCATCTGCTCTTAAGAAAAGCAGGGCAAAAGCAGGAATGGATCTGCAGGCAGGCACAAAGCCATCTGCTGAAATTAAGAAAGGCTCTTCAAGATGAAGGGACCTGTTTATAGGGTCCATTTTGTGGAAATAATTTACCATTTCTCAACACGCCTGAAACATTGAGTAAGATTGGTCTACAGTAATTATTATGGAGAATTTAGACTTGATTTGCAGTCAAGCTGGAAATTGGAAACTGTAGGTTTCCATTTGTGCTCGGCAAAGAAAGCCACTCTAGTTGTTATGAGTCTCTTAGGATTTACAGTAAAGCATGCGGTCTTATCCTGCATTTAATCTCAGCAAATGGGAGTCTTCAAATTGAAATGCAAAGATGATCATTACTTTTCTAGATTAGCTTCCATAAATGAAATCATTCAGCAAGTTCAAGGAATTAAACAAGTTATTTTCCCCCCCCCCAATTTTATTTCTATTTATTGCTGGAATATGCTCTGCCTGGTTGTTTATCTATTTTTGATGTAGTAGCTACACAGACATTCATTGCTTATTCATAGCAAAGTTGTTCTTATAGTTAACATTTTTATTTTCATTTCTTTTAGAGATTGAACAGCCACTTGGCTTGTGCTGAGGGGTGTTCTATATATTTTCAACACCTCTTACTTACTAGGATTATCACTAGTTTCTTTTCAGTTTTTTAAAATTTTCTGTCCATTTTTAAAGTTTTTCTCCTTTTGTACTTTGATTTATCATGGAGATTTTAGTTCCTAAATAGGATGTCTCAATTTTTTAAAAATTCCTTGGCTATATTTTAATGAGTTTTTTTTAAAAAAGTATGTTGTCTTTATCATGGAATGTAAACAAAAAATCTTAGATGGACTTTTAAAAAACAATTGCTTGCCAAATCAAAAACTTTTTTTAAAACAACTGGGCCCCCTCCCATCTATATTTTTCTATACAAGAGATATATTTTATTCAAAACATGTCTTGATCAAGTATAATCTGCCAGGGTAGAGTAATTTAAATCAGTAAAACTTCAAAAAAATTAATACTGGCATTTAAAAGTTTTAACAATCACATTATATTCTTTATATAATATTTCATACTCATTAATTCAATAAGTGCCATCTAAACATTTTACAATTTTTTTTATTTTACTGGTGGATAATTAAGGCTGGAGATTTCAGTAACATTTGGGACCCTTTGCTGGCTCTTTCAACTAAATTTAGTTCTGAAACTTGGAGGTGGGAATTTAATTTGGTGGATATACAATAAACTTAAAATAAAATACAGCAACGTTTAGAAATTGGGGGATATGCCCTCCTAGGGAAACATTAACAAAACAAGGGGTACCCAGAAAGTCTTTGGGAAAATTAGTGTAAAAAATGAAATTATATTGGCCTAAAATATTCAAGGGAATAAACAATTTAAAGGCAGAGAAGGAGACAGAGGATATTGCAAAACAATTTACTCTTTTGAAAGATAGAATGCCACCCTGGTTTTTTTTAGAGTTGTAATAGAACGATTGAACAATATTATTCCATAGAGAATGTTTAGGGCTGAGTTTTAAAAAATGAGCTGTTTGAAGTTTGATATGCTTAGAGTAAGTTTTTTTGTTGCTGTTTTGGTTTCCCTTTTGCAGTTCTTATCTTTTCTTTCAGTACATAAATGCAACAAAAATACAAAACACAGTTTGTCAATTACATAATGAACATTCCAGGTGGATCCTTACATACAGGCTGCAAACTGGTCCCCAAGATGCAGGCATTCTTGCTTGGTACAGAACTCTATGTATGTCAATATCATGCAGAATTCAGTGAGCCCTTATTTATTTTCTATGAATTGTCCCATCCTGGCCGATTGAAACAAACAGTGCCTGCCTATTTCTAGATTTGCTATGTTGCTTGTTCTTTTGTTCCTCTGTGGCACATGTCAGCTACATAGCCTGCACCATGATGGTGTAGCCATACAAGCTACCAGCTTCTTTAGGTCATATTGCATCAATATCTTAATCTGGCATGAAGGATGAAGTGCTTAAGGCTTCTGCTAAGAGTAATTCCATTCAATAATCTGTTATCTTTTCTCTTTAGGCCTCCCATTCATGGAAGAGTTGTCTCTTAGGCAAATGAGAACGCTGCATCTAGGAGGCATCTATGGCCCTTCCCACACATATCTGAAAAACTGAGGAGATGAATTAGTAGGATGGTAGCAAGCCTCAAAGTATCCTACACAAGACATTTCATTTCTTCTCTGTATATTTCCAATGTACAACACAATACAAATATTGCATTACCAAAGTTGTTTCTTTACTGCAAGATTGTACCAACACAACTGAGTGCTTCCTGTTGTGTTAAAGCTGGCCACAACATGGTATTAACAATTTGATATTCACACAGAGGGTTCACATCTTGGAGACCTGTATGAAATTAGCAGATGCCTTTTTAATATTCATCGTAGTGATTCAAATCTGTAAAATAGGCATTGGAATATGCTTTTGCGGTGAGATGTGGATTGAAGTACTTGTTTTGTTCTTCTAGGATGAGATTATTTTTATTAAATGCCTGGGAAAAGAATAAGAAAAGGAAAAGAGTAAATTCTCATTAAAATAAATGAATATTTATGAGGTGCAGTGAAGAGAAGAGAGAAAAGTAACATTATGGTGGAAACTTGGGAATACGAAAAAAAGAAAAAGGGAAATCAAGTAAAAAAGATATAATCAAATAAAATAGGAAGTGGTTTGAAAACAATTATTTTGTTGACATTTTGTTGTCTATTTATGGGCAACTTGAAAGAACAAAGTTTGAATAATGTGACAAATAACTGTTGAAAAATATAAAACAGATGAGGAAGCCATAACTTACATCATTTTTAACATTTTAAATATTTGAGCATCACTAGAGATACCACAGAATTTGCATACCAGACTCCGTATGACATGACAGATGGCTTTAGAAGTCAGCAAGTATAATCAGGATATGAAAACTGCTTTAAAGTGCTGCCATATAATTCAAGAGAAGTTCTGCCTGATCAAGTCTAGAAACAGAAGCAGTTCTAATACTGGTTCTACAGTATGCATTACAAATGTTCCTTTACATATATTAGGAACACACTTGCTTTTTGGAATTGAGAGCCATGCTTAGTACTCTGTATAGTATATCTGAGGTAATTCTACCAAAAATAGCCATGGCTAAAGCAAAATTCAAATAATTTAATAAAATTAAATGCACTGAAAAAGCTCACTGAATTATATAAATATGTTCATCTGTCACATCAAAATTATTCTGAAGGATCGTGGGGTTGACTGTAACACTGGAAATCTAGCTGTGCCCCTCCTGAAACAGCCCATAGTAATTTGCAATGGAATTTGTGTGTCTACATTTGACAACACATGGCCACTATTGATTCCTTACCTTAATGGCATCTACAGAATCATACTTGTCCAGTTTGTTGAGGTGATTGGTGATATTGGTGTTCAGAGGTGCTGGGGATACTGGATGAATGACAGTAGCGTCATGAGACTGTTGCTGATATCGCTGACAATAAGTGTAAACCAGAAGAGTCAGAAGGCACCCAAGAATTGAGCTACTCAGCCCCACAGCAGTCATGTGGAACAGATTAAATTCTACAAATTAGATGAATCAGAAAAGAAAATCAATACCTTATTTAGTTTACATGTTATAATTTTTGTGCCTTACTTATTTTGGGAGCAAGGGGAAATATTAAATTTTATATTGATTACAGAATTCTGCTTTCTCAATTTCCTGCCACACATATTTTTAGAGCAGAACAAGTTTTTCAAGGCTACCACAATTATATGGACAGCTAGTTGATATAGTAGAGAAGGTGCAGGCCTAGAAATTGGGAGACTTTGAGTTCTAGATCTGCCTTAGGCATAAAAGTCACTGGGTGACTTTTGGGCCAGTCATTCTATCTCAGCCCAACTACCTCAGAAGGTTGTTGTTGTGAGGGAAAGAGGAGGCAGGAGTATTAGATATGTTTGCTGCCTCAAGGTAATATATAGATCAGGGGTGTCAAATTTGTGGCCCACGGGCCAGATGCATCATGTACTGGCCATGCTCATGCCCAGTTTAGCGAAGTGGGGAGGGGGGAAGTAGCGATATGTCATGTGACGATGCTATGACGATGAAAGTTTGACACCCCTGACATAGATGAATAGTCTGGATAAAATAATAATACTAATAAAAACCCCACATGGAGTTAGTTAAAATCAGGAGTATTAAAGAAACTGAAGCCTTTATTTTAGCATTTCAAGGACAAGCTTTACCAATTGAGTACATGAAGGTGGAAATTCAACATGTAAAACAACATCAAATGAAGCCTTTGTAGTGGAAAAGGATGAAACAATTGACTATTTGATCAGTGGCTGCAGCAAAATTTCACATACTGACTACCATCAGCATCGTGACTCAATTGCCAAAATTATTCATTGAAGACTTTGCCAGAGATTTAGATTTGAATGCAGTAAAAACTACACGGACCATGAAATGTCATAACTACTTGTTACCACCCTCTCAACTCGGCAAGGCTTGCACAACTCCTTAATTTATCCATGCTAAAGGTAGTGAAATAAGCAGGAAAGAGTCAGACTGTAGTGAAAGAATTCATCCCAACTCTAAAGAAATACAAGAAAGAATTTTTTACTATGCCTTCACTGTTGCTTATAATGCCATAATCAAAAGATTCCCAGTGGTACCCATAACATGAATGGTACAATAATACTGGTATTCTGACAAGACAACAGATGCACGGAGATAAACCCCGTCTAGATACCATTTAAAACAAGGAAGGAAAGTGAAATCCCAGAACAACTCTCCATAGCAACCAACACCCAGATAAGCAGCAAACAGCCCCAGATAAACAATCAGGGAAGAAACAACATCCTAATCAGGGAACCATTAAGGAAGAAATTACACCCGAAACAAGACTAGCAGGGCAAGCCACTATACATAAACGATCTGCAAACATCACTCCTCCATTCATAACAATGATATTAGGTCTCCCAGATATGAAAGGTCTGCAAGAAAATTATCAAGCTCAGAGCACACAAAAAGCCCAAGTGTTAAATACTGCATTACATCTTATTCTCCTCTAATGGAGCACAGGAGAGTCATGGAAATTTGAAATATGCAATCCCAGTCTTGGCTGGTGTAAGAAAAATAGAAGAAACTCTCATGAAAGTGTTGTGGGTGGGAAAAGATGAATAACTATCATAAATAAGACAAAAGTGAAGAATCTTACCACCACATCTTTTTTCTTTGATACTGCTGGTTCTTGCAACAGTTATATCTACAATAGCAATTAATTGAATTAACAGCTGAATGGTGAAGAATGTCTGTTCTAAGTATATTTCATTTGACTGCAAGCAAATTATTCCTCAAAGGATACCTTAAGTACACAACACAAGTTGCTAACTTGCCAGAACAATGCACTCAAATCCAGTCACTACATATAATAATAATAATAATAATAATAATAATAATAATAATAATAATAATAATAATAATAATAATAATAATAATAATAATGCCTAACCCAGGTCCTTAGGAAGGACTTGATAGGTGGATCAAAATGCACATCTGCCTTACAGTGCAACCAATCATAATAATTTTATTAAACTGGTATGCCACACAGTAGTGTTTCTCAACCTCGGAGACTTGAACAGCTGGTTAGGGAATTCTGGGAATAGAAGTCAACACATCTTCAAGCTGCCATGGTTGAGAAACGCTGCTATAAGTAATATCAGCAGAAGGTAAAAGCCAAGGTAGGAGAAAGAAGAGATTTAAATCCATCAACTAGACTGGCATATACATTTGGGATAAGAGGGAAGATTAAGGCGCTACAAGTAATTCCTCCTTGTCTCCTCCCTCCAGCTCCATCTTACTAAACAGTTCTTAATTCTTCATTTTAGACATATCTCAGTATACTTTCAGCAAGCGTGCAGCCACCTAGTCATGCTTGTTATATCAGGAATCACATCAGGGTACCATCCGTGGTTGGTCTTACCTGGTATGAAGTTGGAATCGGAATCACACGGCTGACTTTCAGTCATATTCCCAGAGCACTGGTGACCCACAGGAAATAAAACATTACATTGGCGAGTGCGGACCTGGACTCCAGATGCATCGCAGCCTGACCAGCCTGACCAGTCTGACCAACTATCTGCAACAGACAAAAATCAACAGTGCATGAAGGGACCATCTGTCCACCATGCGCTCCCTTTAAATGTCCTCCTATCCCAATCTTCAATCTTTTCTATGTTTAGCATATTGACCTGATTCTGCAAGGACAATCAATGCACTTTTTTGTATTTTGATTGACAAATCAAAATAAATAAATAAATTAAATAAACTGGAGCAATGGTTATGTTTTAGAATTTAGACCAACATTATGTCAATTTAAAAAAACATTCAAATTTTTAAAAAATGCACATTTGATACTACATCTTTTGGTGTTCTTTGTTGGATCTGGATGGATTAACAGTATGAGTTCAGCGATTCACCTACCCTAAAAGGGAACAAATTAAACTCTCAACTACTTTTTTTCTGCTCAAACATTTTCTGATATCCACACCTTACATCCTTAGAGAAACAGATACAGAAGGGAGACAGATGGTGGAGGAGCATATACAGAAATTCTGTCAACTCTAAATTAAAATACCTTTAGCTTTTGGGAAATTGAATACACCAGAATTAAGGGCTATGTACAAAGGTGGAACAGTTACTAATCTTAATCTCCTATCATGTATCTTGTTCCACATCATTGGCTGCTGCTAGCGATGGCAAAAAAATGCAGAAAATGTCATCATGATCATGCAGGATTGGAGAGTTTATCAGCTATGGACAACTGGGGAGAAGTTAATATGGGAAGCATATTAGTGTAAGGCTTAGTTTTAGCCTAGGTTATAGCCTATCCTGATTGGTGAAGATTGAAATTGAAAGCGAAATTTCTGGAGAAAGCTGGTGAATAAATGATAAAAGTGGGGAAGAGCCCCCATCTTCTTTCTGCCCTACAGCTCCCCCTCCTCAGTTATAAATATATCTTCCATCCAGCCTTCTTCTTCTTAGCACTAGGTATCTTAGCAAGGTAAGAACATTTCGCAGGTTTCACAATGAGGCTGACACTATCATCAGCCAATGCAAAGGGATGACAATAGCATTAGGCAATAAATATACTGTCTCATTGTGCTTTGCAGTTGAATCAGTTAGGAATGGGAAAGGCAAAACCTACAAATGTAAGTAGAAAATACAGCTAAGCAAAGGACTGGTCTGACCACTGTTTTCCATGTGGCTGCTAACTGGAATTAGACAACTCATCCAGTTTGCAGAGAACCGTTGAGTTTTCTGCTTCAGCATCCTCAATTTTCATGAATGAAAACATGATTTCCACCTTGTATGCTATCTTTTGTTGTGGCTAATTCCATTCTAAGCAATCATCAGAGCAAGTTTGCATGGATTGTATGGCTCAACAATGAGTGTGAGAGCAATACAATGGACTCATAAGGCAGGGCCCAAGCTAGATTAACAGGTGAGGGCATCATACAAGGCCCATCCCAATGGGATGAATGAAGACCCCCAAGATTTGAAGCTGGATTTGAATGCTAGATCTGGTTCCCTATTCCTACACCACCTAACTTATGGCTTTAAGTAAGCTGAAGGATCTCAGCATTATCTTTCTCAGTATAACATGTGTATAAAGGAAAATAAATGTAGAAACAGTAAACAATTCTGAACATGCTGCCTAATTTAATCTAATTCTTAACAATGTCTGTTCTACAATTGGTGAGGAAACAAACAGGATGTTTCAAACCTGGGCATTGTTCTGTATTGCAAAGTGCTTCTTCGGTGTGGAGCCCTAAACAGATGTCACCTCCATAAGCCGGTGTTGGGTTTGTACAGGAGCGAGTCCTCATATAATGGCCACTTCCACAAGTAGCAGAGCACTTAGACCACGATGACCAACAGGACCAACTTCCATCAACTAGATGTAGAAGAACAGTGCTATTATTCATAGTTTCTCAAAAAGCAGTTAATACATTTATTGTCTTCCAGTTTACAACTGCATAATCTAGATCACTGCAGTGTTCGAAGCCACAAACCTGTAAATACAAATATATATATAGTTTCTCAAAAAGCAGTTAATACATTTATTGTCTTCCAGTTTACAACTGCATAATCTAGATCACTGCAGTGTTCGAAGCCACAAACCTGTAAATACAAATATATATCACTTCTAAAAAGGTAACTCAATTATGATAAGATGGGAAAAAGCCCAAACCAATGCCAATACTGCCACTTCCAAATGGGAAGTATACCACAATAGCTATGCTGAAATGTGGTATGAATGACTTTCTACATTTCTGCCCTGTGGCAATCCAGAGACTCCTGATGACTTACATAGAGTATAAAGTAAAACACCCATTCTATCACAACTATAAAAGCAATAAAATAATAACACCAAACATATGGAAAACTACAAACAACATAATGAACATGGCATGCTAAAATCAAGAGAAGGCCCTCCAGAATAACTGTTTTTAAAAGCTTCTGAAACATTAACAAGCAGGGGGGCTAGCCTGATCTCGCCTCGGTGCTGCCATAAACAAAAGATAAACTTGTTTTTTATTTATTTAATCAATCATATTTATAGGGCAACCTAAGTCAACCAACACTGGGCAGTTTAAAGCAAACACAGCCAACATAAATCCTCCACTAGTAAGATCAGATAAAAATGACAGAAATCAAACAGGTTCCAGGTCTGATAATTAAAACAAAATGTGTACAAAACACAATTCCTTGTCCCAGGGCCTGGAGAAAGAGCCAAGTCTTCAAATTTTGCTTAAAAGGACAATAAGTCTGGGATAATTATGAACCTCTGAGGGAATACCAGAGATATAAAGTCAAGAAACTCTGAAGTTATCGTCACACTTCACCGCACAAGAACACCTCTTCACGTCTTGGTAGTAAGCAATTACCACCCACCACCCACCCCCATGAAGTTTTATGTTTCCAAACATGAATTCAGCCCCATCCAAGCCCTCTTTGAAAACAGGAGAAGCAGCTGAGAGCTTGCAAAAAGCTTGAGCATGCCATGTAAGAACAAGGGAGATTGGAGAGGGATTTTGGCAGGGGAGAAATACACTGACTGTCCCTTCCCAAATCACAGTCACAACTTCAGAAGTGAAATTAGTTACTGGGCAAAGAAGTCAAGGCTCTGTCTTCTGAAACTGTGTCACATCTTTTAGTTGAACTAGTCCCAAAGGAGAAGAATATAAAGCTACAAGTAATAACTAGTATAGAAGGAGAAGGCCAACAAGTGAGGGGGAATTTTCCAGGTTACTTTACAGCAGGGGTGGGCAAACTTTTTGGCTCAGGGGCCGCATTGACTTTTAAAATTTGACAGACGGGCCGGGTCAGCACAAGATTTTTTGGGAATCGCCCCCCCTTCCCCCCCCTTCTCCTCCTTCCCCTCCCCTCGGAGGCTCCCCTCCCCTCGGAGGCCCTCTGAGTCAGGAGTTGCTACCGCCGGCGCGGCTCCGCGCGGCTCCAGTCCCGCGTTGCCTCGGGAAGGGAAAGGCAAAAAGGAAGAGCCGCGGCGGTGCTTTGCAACGGGAGCAGCGGCACCGGAGGCTCAGGCTCAGCGCCTCCTGGTTTTGCCTTTTCCTTCCCAAGGCAACACGGGACTGGAGCCGCACGGAGCTGCGCCGGCGGTAGCAACTCCTGACAGCCCCAGCCAGACACCTGAGCGGAGCCCGAGCGAAACTGCCTCTTGCTGCTGCCGGAGCACCGCCGGGTCGCCTCCTCCAAGCAGCCTGCCCGCCCACCGGGCTTCCCCTCTGCCGCGCGGCTCGGGGCCAGGCGCAAGCACCCGCGAGTTAAAAGGAAGCCGAAAGTTGCTGGGAAGTTGCTCGGGTGCTGGGAGCAGGCTTTTAAAGTGCCGCCCGAGCAAAGTTTAAGCAGCCCGCCCACCCGCCGGGCAGAACCCTTCCTGCTCCTCGGCGGGAAGACGCTCCAGCCTGCAAACTTTGCCTTTGCAAAGTTTAAGCCTGGAAGCCCCGGAAACCCAAGCAACTTCCCAGCAACTTTCGGCTTCGTTTTAACTCGCAGGCGCTCGTACCTGGCAGAGGGGAAGCCCGGAGTCTCCTCCAAGCAGTCCGCCCGCCCGCCCGCCGGGCTTCCCCTCCGCCGTGCGGCTTGGGGCCAGGCGCGAGCGCCCGCGAGTTAAAAGGAAGCCGAAAGTTGCTGGGAAGTTGCTCGGGTGCTGGGAGCAGGCTTTTAAAGTGCCGCCCGAGCAAAGTTTAAGCCTGGAAGCCCCAGAAATCCGAGCAACTTCCCAGCAACTTTTGGCTTCCTTTTAACTCGCGGGCGCTCACGCCTGGCCCCGAGCTGCGCGGCGGAAGGGAAGCCCGGCGGGCGGGCGGGCAGGCTGCTTGGAGGAGGCTCCGGGCTTCCCCTCCGCCAGGCGCGAGCGCCCACGAGTTAAAAGGAAGCCGAAAGTTGCTGGGAAGTTGCTCGGGTGCTGGGAGCAGGCTTTTAAAGTGCCACCCGAGCAAAGTTTAAGCAGCCCGCCCCGCCCGCCAGGCAGAACCCTTCCCACTCCTCGGCGGGAAGACGCTCCAGCCTGCAAACTTTGCCTTTGCAAAGCCCTGGAAAACGGAGCAACTTCCCAGCAACTTTCGGCTTCCTTTTAACTCGCGGGCGCTCGCGCCTGGCGGAGGGGAAGCCCGGAGCCTCCTCCAAGCAGCCTGCCCGCCCGCCCGCCAGGCTTCCCTCCGCCGCGCGGCTCGGGGCCAGGCGCGAGCGCCCACGAGTTAAAACGAAGCC